AACCCGGTTATTAAAGAAAGAACTCGGGAGCCTCATGAATAACCAGGATTACAGCAGAAAAATGAATGACAACTCTGAAGACAAGATTCTTTCCATTACAAATGGCTTCAAAAATAGAAGATTACACATCTTACAAGACCCAATGAACTCGGCACTACGACAAGCAAGGTAGCAAAAAGGAGCCCGGACACAACTAGGCTCTGGAACGACTATGTGCTCCAATTTGCTACTCGGTAGAACAAACCGCGCTCGGCTACACTGTTTTCTTCAAAGGACGGACGTAGTGTATCCAAGGCAAAAATCAGCAGCACGGTGGGACAACATAGACCAGGGGAAGTCGGTAGGCATCTGTCTACCCAAGCCCGACGTGATGCAGGATCAGGTGTTGATCTGCACCGGACAGTCTCAAGACAGACGACGAGGATCAACCCAGAACTGCCGGATGAAGGAACGAAGCCCACATCACAAGACTTCCTCCAGCTACAACAAAATGCAACAAAAGGCTCGATGAATCAAAACAGTACTCCGGAAGGGCATTTATAGGCAAAAAAAGCGGTGCACATGGACTAGGAGCACCAACAGAAGAAATCTTATAAAGGACACAATGAAAAAACAAAATTCAATGAAAGAGGACTCTGGCGTGAAAGAACGGCACTCAAGGATAAGCATATCCAAGAGAATATTCCACAAGCAACAATACAACCCGTGAAGACATGCATTGAATTCTCCAACAACCAGAATGACAACAGCAATAAGTAACCGAACAAACAACTCGGAGACGTATGAAGGATCACATACAAAATTACAATGTCAAAGGATTACAGTCGAAAAAGAACTCAGACAGAGAAAAATTATACATCTCATTGAAGAAGACAAATACAAAAGTTTACAGACGGCCAAACAGGATCGGATAAACTCGAGACATAAGAGCAGAGACAAGATTCTTAAATATTGCAACAAGGAACTGAAGATTAAATGGCAGCAAGCAAATGGACGAGGACGAAGAAGAAACGAGATAGAGCAAAGACATGTTCATTACCAAGCAAGCATAAGCTCTGGGGGCTGCTCAACCTAACACACCGGCAGATATCTACGAATGAAGAAAGAATTGAAGAAGAAATTTCCTACTCAAGGAAGAACCACAACCAACAAAGAAGGTATTTATAGCAAACAGAGGTAAACAAGGCTAAAGATCACAAGAAAGAAAGAGGAAAAGAACAAAAGAGCAAAGCAACAAAGGCAAATAGTACCCAAAAGCAAGATTTCGACAAAAAAAGTAAAGAAGACGCCACTCATGGCTATACAAGACCCATCCGTGACCCAAGAAAAGACAAAGATCAAAGGAGATAAATCAAGATTTTTCTTCCCGGCTTCTTTTCAATGTAAAAGAACCGGAGAAGGCTCGGGGGCTGCAAGTACCTACCACAGAAAAACATATTTTCAAATTTTTTGACCCTCCAGCTTTTTATACCAAAAAACAGAAGGCTCGGGGGCTACACTCAATGTGAAAAATTGCACTCGCTACACTCAAAGGAAAAAGAACCCGGAGGACATCAAGCAAAAGTGCACATTAGCCAAAAGAAGAATCAAAGAAGACCATCTCAAGATTTCACTTCAAGAAGGACCCGGATGAAGACTGCAACAACTCAGCCCTTGAAGCTCAATCATGAAATGCTCGGGGACTTGTCGATGGGGAACCCTACGGGCCCCCCATAGACCATACTGTAGAGAGGTAGGCCTTGGTAACAAGGCCTACAGCCCAATCGCCAAGAAGAACGCGGAGCAAAGCAACGTGCAAAACCGAAACTCCGACGCAAACTATACAAGGAAAGACGCCCGAAGCGTAGCTTAGGACTCTGACCTTGTATCCGAATAGGACACAAACAACGCTTCTCAACGCTTGGACTATAAAGGGCTGGTGAGGGTACCCATTGTAAAGGGAGAACGCATACCCGATACTCAAAGCAATACAACGCAAACAGGCTAACGCCAAAACTGGACGTAAGGTTATTACTCGACCAAGTCGAGGGTCTGAACTAGTATAAATCGTGAGTCTCTTTGCGTAACCGCCGAATTCCGCTATTCGCCGAAGCCCGAATAACTATCCCCGGTACCCCCGTGGCAGGCTATCGGTAGTAAAACATCGACAGAGAATACCATGTTTTTTTTTGCAAGTTGTTCATCAAACAAGTTAGAAAAGAGAATCGTGCGGACACTCATTTGAACACTATGGGCTTTGCTGAGGTATCAGGTAGGTTCTTTTCAGTGTACTAAAATCATATTGAGCAAAAGGTAACTAAAGAAGAAGTTGGACAAGTTGAGGGGTGATTTGACTACATGGTAAAATTTAATGAGGAAGCAAACATGAACTGGTTGGAACAATGAAAAGGGGGTGATCAACATGTATTTTGAGTGGTGGAAGAAGACAAAACATGTGAGTATTCAATAATTTTCTATTATAATGTTATGTTTATTTGTAGTCCGATGTCTAATTTCTTACCTTATCAAATGTTTTAGAAAATTCCTAGATGCAGAAAGTTAAGAGGCTCTCCAAAATGAGGATGGTCTAAAGGTGATGTTTGGTGGCATCACTAATGATAAGCAAGATCATTGGAGTCCTAACGATGAAATGGAGGACAAGCAACCCATTGGTGGTAACAATGCTTTTGATGCTGGAGATTAGGTTGAGTAGGTTTGTCCTACCATTGACAATGCTAAGAAAAGGGCTCATGTAATCCTTGAAAGGATCAAATGCCCAACCAACTGATGTGCTTTAGAATAAGGAAAATGGTCTCGACTTAGGAATGGACCTGCAACAGAAAAGTAAAGTAATCCCCCCTCCTTTCTAAATTTTAAGACGTTTTGGCATTTTTTTAGATTCATGGCTTTTGCTATGCATTTAGATATACACCATAGTAAGATGTGTAGTAAAATCAATATATGTAGAAAAGCATTAACATCTTATAATTTGGAACGGGGGAATATGAATAATCCATAGGGCAGTCTTGAAAACATAAGCGACTTGGTAAAGACAACTTAAGTCTATATGCATGAGGTGGCCTCATGTACATGGGTATATATTTGATCAACCGATGTTTAATTATATCTTTTCAGAATGCTACAGTCTCGTTCTTGTTTTAGACAAGTTTATACTATGGGCACCTATGAGCTTTGTTACTAGATATCTATATTTTATTTGAATATAAATAAATTTTCACCTAAGAAATACGAAAAGGAGTGAGGTTAATGCAAAAACGGAGAAAGAGAGTTGAATGAGGGTAAATGAATAGAGTGAGAAGGTCAAAAGTGAAGGAGAGGGAGAGCAAGAGTCCGATAGACTGGTATCATTATAAGAATCCATCGAAGTATTTTTCTAGAGGCAGAATAAAATACATCTAGCACTTCATATTATCATATGATGGCTTAGAGTTTTGTTCTAATTCAGTCGGCAATTGCACATAGAATCTTATTAGATTACTCTAATATGTTTTGCCACTATAGAATATAAGGTTTCCACCAATGTCACCATGTATCTTGAAATTTGGTCTAGATTCGGCCAATACCACCTTTATGGATATTTATGGCTTGATTATTTATCTAGGAGTACTGATTTGTTTGTTTATTGGAAGGTCCACGTTTCATTATTCCGCGCATATTAATTTTTTTTGTAGACACATATCGCATGTGGGTGTCCACTAATATATTTATATAAATACACAAGTATTTATAATTATAATAGATATCATTAAATGGAATATATTTAAAAACGCCAGTGCTATTCTACACCAGTAGCCAAAACTGACCAGAAAAAATACTTAGTACTACTAAACCTCGTTAAGTATCAGTCAGTAATACACCGTTACCACAAAAATACTGAACGATACTAAATTCTGTTTAGTATAATAGTTTTATTCTACACCTATTGTGTAGAATAACGCGTGTATATTTAAAAATATAAATATTGTTATTTTTATAAATTTAGTTAAATAATATTTTTTGACTCAACGGAAAACAAGATTTTATATTATTTTTAGGACTGGAGGTAGTGCGTATGTCCACGGTGGAAATAAAAGCTCGAAATTGCTGTATGTCCACGGTGGAAATAAAAGCTCGAAATTGCTGTAGTGTGAGGCTTCCCGTGGATGAAAGAGTAAAGCGCGATTGACTAGTCAACCACAGTAAGGGCCCGTTCGTTAGGCAAAATAAAAAAAAAGTTAGGAAGCGTTTTGGCTGAACAAAGCTTACATAAATTAAACACCTGATTCTGACCGAATTACATTACGGTTCCCCAAGAACCGAACATGCCCTAAGGGGTGTTTGATCGAGGAATTAAAGTTGAGGAGGTATTATACGAAGATGTTGTACGGGTTCGGATATATTTACTGTAGCACTTCGTCAAATTATAAATTAATTAAACTTAAAAAAAACTCGACTTGCAAATAGCCTATATTTAATACTCTTATGCCAAGCATCCGACGCGACAGCGACACATTCGACTTGCTCGCACCCGCCGCCGCCACCGCCGCTCTTGCGCCCGCCGGGCCACCGTTGCCGCCATGGCCGAGCCCGAGCCGCCTCACTCTGCTCCAGCAAACCGCTCGCCGCCCCACGCCTGAGCCGCCGCCGCTCTAAGCTAGCAAGCCGCCCGCCGTTGCCCGCCCCTTGGGGCCCGCCCTCGCTGCTTCTCGCAGTTTGGGGGCCGCCGCTGCTTCCCGCCCCTTGGAGGTTGTCACGGATCTGAGGAGAAGTGGACGGAGGGGGACGGGGGAGAGAAGGGATAGGGCAGAGCCGAGCGGAAGCGAATCGTCTTGCGCGGCCACCGCCGCTGCCTCTCTCTCTCAGGTGATTGATGTAGATGCATATCCATCCATCTCCTCGTCTTCCTCCGTGGATCGATCTGCTAGCCGTTTCAATGTAACTAACCTCTTCTGTTCTTTGACTGTTTCTTTTGTACCACACCCACAGTGCCTGGTGGCATCCTCGATCGGACGACAGGCAGGATGCTTCCGCGGAAAACGCCCAAAATTGCGTCTGCCGCCGCAGCTCTGGTCGAAGGCCCCGACCACATCAGCAACCTCCCGGACGGCGCGCTGCAGCACATACTCTCCTTCCTGCCGGCGCAGGGCGTCGTACGGACATGTGTGCTCGCCAAGCGCTGGCGCCACATGTGGAAGTCCACCACCGTCCTGCGCTTCGTGTGCGGCGGAATTCAGGAACCAAAGTCCATGAAGGAGATTCAGGATTTCGTGGACCAACTGCTACGCCTGCGAATCAGGGAAGGCACGCCGCTTGACACGTGCGAGTTCCGTCTCGGCGAGAATGATGACAACGACATGAGTCGCTTGGACCTTTGGATCCATATAGCTCTCCAGTGCAAAGTCCGGGTTCTCCAGCTCAACTGCGCGGGCACTCCTCGTTTCCATAACCATCCAATCTTCATCTCCCAATACCTGAAGAAGCTAGAGCTTCAGGGATTCGACGACAACGTGGTGCCCAGCAGATTGCTTGACTTCTCCTGCTGCCCCAATTTGGAAGACCTTGAGATTGTTGACTGCTACCTAGGGGGTGCCTTACTCATCTCGTCACAATCCCTAAAGTGTCTAACCATTGAGGATTGTTTTTTTGGTTATGATGACTGTCGCATGCCTATTTGTGCCCCGAATCTTGTTTCACTATGGCTTGAAGTTCGTGATGGCAGGACTCCATCGCTTCAGAGGATGCCAACCTTACTAACAGCATTTATCAAAATCCACAGTTATGATGATCTGGTTACCCTTGACTCTGATGATGACAGCAACCAAAGTATTCTCTTGCAAGGTTTATCGGAAGTCCAGAACTTGGTGCTGATATCTCATGACACCGACATGGTATCCTTACACACTTGAGTTGTAATGTTCATGCTTACATTTAAGTTTTATTGATGTTTCTTTGTTTCCATTGTCTAGTTTATTTTCAGAAGGGACTTAAAATTTTGCTCTAGTTTCAACAAGTTGAAGTCTTTGCTCCTCGATGAATACTGGTGCGAGCCTGCTGATTTCAGCGCACTAGCTTGCCTCCTCAAACTTTCACCGGTGTTAGAGAAGCTCACTCTTCAACTATATTCAAAGGTCTATAATATCAAATGCAAATGATGCATTTAGAAACTTAAAGGGCGTACCTAGTGCAGAGAGCTCCTGCTCTGTGCGTGGTCTAGAAAGGGTGTCAGTGGCAAGCCTTACCCTCGCCTGTGCAATGCGAGGAGACCGCGACTCGAACCCGGGACCTTCCGGTCACAGGCGGTGACTCTATCGCTTGCACCAGGCCCGCCCTTCATGCATTTAGAAACTTGAACAGATTATTATTCTAGTTTGTCGATTGATCTTGACAAAAATCCTTACATTTACTACAGGGACCTGAACATAACGTGGAGATTAAACTGAGCTGCAAACCATTGGAGATGTCAGCTGCAATATCACAACACCTTAAGACAGTCGAAGTCAGATGTGAAGTGTATGACGAGAGAGTTCGCAATGTTTTGACGTTTCTTAGTAAACTTAACATATGTAAGTAAACTGACATTACTGTCACATTTTCCTTATTTTTACAGTATGGTTCCAAATTATATGAATGGAAGTGTCTGGATTTATAGTTTTAGTTACCATGGTATCATCTTGCTTATTGCTTCTTAGCAAAACACAAATGCTAGCTTTATATTCTTGTTAATCAATTTACTTTTGCTTTGTGACAATCATTTGGTACATTTTGTTACCGTGTCTTATCATTGCCACCAGTAAAGTAAGTTCAATCATATCATTCCATTTTTTTCCTGCCATATTCATAAAAAGATGACCATTAGCTTTTTACATTAGTATGTAATAGATGAAATGTCATACCAGAATACAAAGTTGTTTTAAAAATGAGAATGTAACATTCATGTGATTTCCTTTGCTTACTGAGTGGCTAGCTTTTGTGTCAACATTTATTACTGCATGTTCCCTTTTTTTTTTGAAATTAGTACCACTTCCTCAGGAATTTTCTGACACTTCAGAACAGCACAACCATTATTTTTTGTGGTTATTTTAAATATATAATACTAATACAATTATTGTGTAACATGTTTATTTAAGCGGTGATGACCTTTATTCTAAATAAATTTCTGTCGAGCCTCGAGACAACTTGTCTTAGTGTGCTATTTGGTTATTTTTCTTATGTGCAGAAGTCTATTCCTGTCTAAATATTGTTACCATTTCTATATGTTTCTCATGTATTTTTTCATGCTCCTCAACTTATGGCATGCCTTTGGTATATGTGAAGGGTTTCAGTTCAGCGGATAGAAGGCTATGCATGAGGATGGAACCTACTATCACTTAATTAAGTCAAGGTTATCCTCGATCAACTAAGCAGGCACAAGTATTAAGGATGTCTCTTTTTCTGTAATCAGGTTGCCGGCGTGGTACCACGCTACGTAGTTCAGGCTACCTTCTTGCTAAATAGCTTGCTCAAGCTAAATCTACCTCGTACCTGTCCACTTACTATATATTGATGTATCATAAACCTAATAGCACATGTTTGCTTGCTATGTTGAACCAGCGCCTAACTTATGTTTCTCAAAGTGAGATTTTCTAGCCTGTCCATTGTTTCCTAGCGTTTGTTGCAGTGGAGAAAATGTTCAGATGTCACTGCATTTTGGGCATGTGCAACTATAGATCGCTGAAGTCAGTAAAGGCATTCTGAGTTTCCATGCTAGATAAATCTGAAATTTCTCCAGATGTGTTGCTGAAGACGTTTGGTTAAATCGTTGTCCATTGTTTCACAAAAACAGTGGTCTGAAAATGTATCGTATTTCTTTTGCCATGGTGTTTGCATTGGTTTAAGGATGTAGCTTCTAGATAAAGAATCGGAAAGCTAGCATGCAGTACTGTGTTATTTACCTAGTAACCACGTGGGTCCAATATTTACTCCTTCCTAAGCCTACTAACCAGATTTTGAATATGTTCACGGATGTAACGACTTCTGGGTTTTAAAATGGGAGGCTGCCGACACTGAAACTTTGAAACGATATGGTGCTTGTGGCTTTGAGCTGAGTGAAATGTTGAAAGTAATCGGGCAATGGTACCTCGTCCTGCTGGATGCATGCGAACGAGTCTCGTGCGTATTTGAACTCTTGCTGGAACCTAGAAATTGTTACGATGCAATCCGTTGAAGCAAATGGACCAATAGAAATTCAGTGATCTCATCCCCAGTGATAAATCCTAGGGATCCAAACCACTAATTAGTGAGTAGGCTTAGGGTCCGTTGGATCTCTTCTCATAAACTTTAGAGCTCTAGAAACCTTAGAGAACTTATAACTTAGTTTTGAGATCTAAATCTTTAATGTAAGTTGGGTTAAAGTAGAGTTAACTTTAGATCACATGTTTGGAGATATTATGTAACATCCCTAAAAATCCCAAGAGCCAAAAATACCAATTTTCAATTTTTTTCCCTAAAGAGCCATTGCTTGGTTAGTGAGCATGCTAGGAAACCACCCTAGTTGCACAAGTAGATCCTAACATAGATGGAATACATGTGTACATATAAGGTGCTAGGAATGGAGAAATAGAAATAGAAAAGGGTTTGTAATTAGAAGAAATAGAGAAGGTTAAAGAGGCCTGAGCCAGCAGCCGGCCTAGCTCACCAGCGCACCCCCAGGTCCCACGCAGCCCAGCGCGTCCGACCCAACTCGTAGCCTAGCTCACCTCGCACCCCCACCCGACGGAAGGCGCCCATCAGGATTACGCCACCAGGTAGGCATGTTTGTCTCAGGTGTGTTTTAGAAAAGCTAGCATGCAGTACTGCCGGTGGTGCCATGTTTGTTTCAGGTGTGTTTTAGAAGTTGTTTCCAATTGTTTTATTTGTATGTTGTGTATGTTGCAATAGCTATATACGTATGTTGTAAGTATATATTTTAAGTGTTTCAGTTGTTTCATACATATGTTTCACGCGTTTCATCTGTATGTTTCATATGTTTTATTTTGATGTTGCAAAAGGATATGATGTTGCATATGTTGCAATAGCTACATACGTATGTTTTAAGTGTATGTTCCACATGTTTCATCTGTTTTAGACGTATGTTGCAAATGTATGTTCCAAATATTTCAGCTGTTTCAGATGCATGTTTCATGTATTTCATCTAAATGTTGCAATGACTATACAAGTATGTTTCAATAGTATACTGCATATGTTGCAACGGTCGGACATATGTTGTAGAGGAGATGAGACATTAGGACAGAGAAAGGGGCGTGACCGAGACAGAGCATAGCGGAGGACAAGGGCGCGCGCAGGGATGGCACCGCGACGAGGGGAGGAGCGCAGCGTGGCAGGGGAAGGAGCACGGTGGGCTTGACGTCGGGGGCGCAACCGGGATGGGGATTGAGTCGCGGATGGTCGAACGTGGTCACTGGCGCGGGATTGGTCGCGGGCGGCTGGACACAATTCGCTGGTGCGGGATTTGATGCGAGCATGGAGGGCGTTCAATGCGAAACGGTTGCAGGCGTCGGAGCTGCGTCCAGACGCGGGCCTAAGGCCGGATATCCGGGTGCTAGCCCTACCGATTTATATAACCTTTTATTTTACTAGAACATCAGGCGCCTGAATTAAAGAAAACAAACCATTATCCTCACTTCATCATATGGATTGTGGTAGCTAAAATCTAAGGACATATATTTATATATAGACATGCATATTACACAAATAGTGCAACCACGTATCCTGCATGTCCTAATTTTCAAAGGAAATGAAAAATCCCAATTATATTTTTTTACTGTGGGCCAATATTTAACCACGGATGCCATGAAGCAGGTGTCATTTATATAGCTCACCGAAGTATCTGTTGACTAATACAGTAATAAGTTTTTTCAATGCCAAACAGAATGTTTCTTTGCGTCTTAGAATGTTTGTATATGCTGCAGATGAGAAATATATGAAACATGGATAACTAAGCATCATGTAACTTAAACACACTAACTGGAAAATCTCAACAACCGATCAAAGCGACATCCTAGAAGAGATTTCAAAGTCTTGACCATCGAATGGCGAGGAGAATTTGTATTGATGCCAGCATCTATAGCAGTGGGCTGCAATGAAGCATGGTAAAAATATTACTATTATGCTTCAAACACTCAAAGAAGGAAGCAAATTATAAAATCCCAGCATAACAATAACAATTAAATGAGAAGCAAAAGTTCCATTTTTTGAAAACATCTTAGGAATCAGGGTAAATATTTTGTGCAATGCTTAAACCTGATCAGTCAGGTGAGCCGGTGTATAAAACACAAGCCCCCACACAATCAGTAGTCTAGAGTGGTAGTAAATCCGTTCGATCATGATCCAGGCAACGTGTTTTGCAACACATATTATACTCTTGGCAACCTATATATTCATCAGTAAGCTATTGACCAAACAACACAGTAGGATAATTAAGGAGATCATAATCTGGTGTGGGTAGAAGTAATTTCAGTCAATGCTCCAGGCAATATGTTTTGCACCATATAAGCTATACATTTGGCAACCTAGATATTCAGTAATAATCTACTAACAAAACAATACGTCTATGTAAAAATACTCTTTGTTGCCCCTGAACAAAATCCATAGCTGCAAAACTTTCAAGCCATAAATGTGTGTTCAGGAAGCCTTTAAGAACATGCAAAACTTTCAGGCCATAAATTTGTGTCTAGGAAGCCATGCGACATAGCTTTCAGAGAAATCTAAACTACAGCATGAAAAACGCTTAGCTGTGGATATTGACAAATATAAATTGCAGCGTGAATGCGTGATGAATGCTCAGTCATGGACGTTGGAGAACTTCTTGATCTAGATCTTTACCTAAATTTTTGTACCAATCGGAGACATTCCAAGATAATTTATTCCTGAGGAGCTGCATCCACCACCTTGAATGCAGCATATGGATAATTTGTGGAGCTAAGTTAAACCGGCATTCCAATCAACAGTACAGTCTGCTCCCATCCTGCAAAGCTGCTCCCGCTGGCCACCTGAAATGTAAATTGAGCATGGTATTTAATACTATATAAGAAGATAGATAACCAATGTTTGGTTTATTAATAATCAAAGACATATAGGGCAAAGCATTCATTATCAAACTAACCAATCGGTTATTATTCTAAAAACAATACCTCTTCAACTCTTGTGCATCTCAGAGCAACCTGTTTACAATGGGATATAATATAATATAATGGATGCCTTTATTTGTTCAGGAAAAAAAAACAGACCGATAATTCAATCTCAGACAAATAAAACACTTTGGATTGGATCAGAAAATTGAGATGTAGCATCTTGTTCCAGGCCATCACAAAAGCAGAGGCAAATCTGCGCAGCACAAAGAACTGCAGGATTGAGTTTGTTCTCGCCAACCTTCAATCAAAGACGCCACTCTTCTGGCCCCTTTGCTCTGTTCTCTCAGCACTCAATAATTTACATCTGAAATTGATCAGAAGCACAGATTAAAATGAGCAAATCCGAAACCAAATTACAAAGAAATCCAAAGATGAACACATCTTGTCATGCGGATCTTATGAGATGAATGTCGCTGCGTCGCCATCGGATTAGCACTTTAGCAGACGAAGACAACAGCA